TTGGTGGCTCTGTGGTAGTTGTCGGTATTGGGGTGGTTGTGGTTGGTTCTGGTGTTGTTGTAGGTAGCTCTGTGGTAGTTGTCGGTGTAGGGGTAGTTGTAGGTGGCTTTGGTGGCTCTGTGGTAGTTGTCGGTATAGGGGTAGTGGTGGTAGGTTCTGGTGTTGTTGTAGGTGGCACTGTGGCAGTTGTGGTAGGTTCTGGTGTTGTTGTAGGTGGCTGTGTGGTAGTGGTTGGTATAGGGGTAGGTGATGTTGTAAATTCTGTTGTTGTTGATCCACAATCATAACAGCAGTAAACTCTTATTTCATAGTCAAAACATTTATAGGGGCGGAATTTCTGTTCATCCTTTTTACACACCAATCCATAAGAAACATTGCACTGTACAACTTGTTTTGTTTCATGAATATAATCTTCAAAACTCATGCCAGGTTTGGCCTCTACACCCCTACATTCAATATCTTCTGGCTGTTCACAGATCTGTCCTCCACTGGCTGCAATATTTTTATAGGTCTCTTCGTCATTCCATCCTCCTGTTGCAGGATTATACACATTAAACCAGTCAGACCATTCACATATTATACAAGGTGATGTAGATGGTATAGGCGTAGTTGTGGTGGGTACTGGTGTTGTTGTTGGTGGTAATGTGGTAGTTGTTGGTATTGGGGTAGTTGTTGTGGGTACTGGTGTTGTTGTAGGTGGTACAGGGGTAGTTGTAGTAGGTACTGGTGTTGTTGTAGGTGGTACAGGGGTAGTTGTAGTAGGTACTGGTGTTGTTGTAGGTGGTACCGGGGTAGTTGTAGTAGGTACTGGTGTTGTTGTAGGTGGTACCGGTGTTGTTGTAGGTGGTACAGGGGTAGTTGTAGTAGGTACTGGTGTTGTTGTAGGTGGTACCGGGGTAGTTGTAGTAGGTACTGGTGTTGTTGTAGGTGGTATTGTGGTAGTTGTTGGTACTGGGGTAGTTGTGGTAGGTACTGGTGTTGTTGTAGGTGGAGGTGGCGTAGGACACTCTTCTACACAGATCTGATTTTTTTCATCAAATATAGGCTTATCCTCTGGACATTCTGGATAACATCCTGCAAAATATATATTGTATGTCAGTAGTGGCGGTTATTTAATTAATGACTTACAATCATCTCTATTCTCGGTTTACCACTAGATTACCACTATATTGCAAGAACTATTATCATTATCTGATGTGTGTACATTTAAATTTTAAAAATAATCAAGTGTACACTGAATGGCAGCTCACCTTCCAGGTTGGGTAAAGTGTTGTTGCAGATACCATCAGGGTTGAGACATGTTTTATAGCAAGGTGTATGACAAGGACTGTAATGCCATGTGCATTCTCCTGGTTCATTGTAGTAGTCACAGTACACAGCTGACAGGGAAACATGGATGCAAGTTTAAAAATGATCAAACAAACTAAACCAAATGTATTAAAATTACAGTAATTTGTTAAAAGAAAGAAAGCACTCATGCTTGGCTGAAAATCTAGATCTGCACTAGAATTAAAGATCCTTACGGCAGATCTCAGGAGTTCTCCAGACAACACAAACACCGGCCTCATTGCAGGCTTGAGCATAAGCTGCGACAGCCGTACAGAAGCATTCGCAATCTCCACCAGTGTCGCATGAACATGAGTCCTTCACACAGTTCTCATAATATGGATTTGGATCCACCTGTAGGAACAAATCTTTACTTACTTTAGAAATATTTAGCTTGATTATCATACCACATTACAGGCCATTTTTGTACTAATCCAAAAGGCTCCATCTATACCTTGCTATGGCAGTCTTTAAATGTAACTTCCTTTATGATGCTACACTGTATTTTTGCCCATGTTTCTCGGTTAGGAGTTTGAGAGCATGGGTCAAAATCTGGTTGTGCATCAGGGCAAGTGCTTAACACTTTCCAGCTGTCGACAAACTCCATTATGTTTGTAGTTGGTAAGTTTCCTTGAGTGGTAAAATCATCTTTTCCATTTCCATTGAAATTTCCACACAAGCCACAAACATCATCCTATAAAAATACAACAGCATGTTCAGGTTGCATTACATTCCAATGACTGTTGGACTTGTAAGTTGTGCAGAAGTGTCAGGTAAAAGCATTGTAGATTGTGATGTAAATTCACCATGTGCTGAGGTTGCAGAATGATCCGGACAGTGGTTTTGCGATCCCACAACACTGTCAGTCCAATGGCAGCATCAATGACAAGGTACATGCCAACGTTTCTCTCATTGTACTTGATATTCGGACCAGTTCCGACATCAGTGGCTGTTACAGTCCCATCAGAAAGCAGCAGCCAAGTTCTCTGTGTGGTTGAGAAGTGAGAAGAAAAACTACAATTTTACTGTATGGCATATTAGTAAGGAAACTGTATTGACCTTATTCTCAGCCGACGAGTGGGCGCTGCCATTTGAATCTTTTTGGCTCGAGACTTCCGGTCTCATTCACTTCCATTCATTTTTAGACATTAAAAACTGCTCATTATGCTGCTTGATGTTGCAATTTGATATTTTCTTGTTATATTATTCTACCTGGTCTGTATAGTCATGCAAACATTTGTTTGTAGAGCAAGTAGTTTGACCGTTTTTTGCCGTTTATTATTCCTAGTCATTTCTCCCATAGGCGACTGAATCGGAAGTTCTAAGACAATCGCGAAAACAGGCGCACTTCCGCATTTTAGAATAAGGTCAATAGCATACACTGACTGACATACACTTTATATATTTCAAATTTTAAATAGTGAAACACCAGGGGTGCCCAAACTCAGTCCTGGAGGGCTGGTGTCCTGCATAGTTTAGCTCCAACTTCCTTCAACACACCTGCCTGGACGTTTCTAGTATACATACAAAGAGCTTGATTAGCTGGTTCAGGTGTGTCTAATTGGGGCTGGAGCAAATTCCAAGTTCCCTCCAGGACTGAGTTTGGGCACCCCTGGTGGAAGACCGTGGAAACGTTAACCGTTTACATTTAAAATGATCATAGTATTACAGCATATTAATGTGACTGCTTTGGTGTTTTATTTTTATATTTACTCTAAATGTACCATTAAAGATAAAACCATAGTGGCAAGAGACCCACACATTCGGCCTTACCCCCAAAAGGATCCCAACAGCCTTTGAGCAAGTAGTTCCTGTTGTTCCGCAAGGCATATTTTCGGTGACCACGTGAAAATTACCAGTTTTATTTCCACACTTGTTCTGCAAAACAAGAGAATTTGACCCTTTGCCTCCTGAAGTACATTTAATGCTATTTAAATAGTGACGCAATACTACTTTGTGCACTTACCTGAGCTGCTATATAACTGCAGTCTCCCCTGAAGCCGAATCTTTGCTGATCGAATGTTTTATAATGTCCGCTGCCATAAATTGTGCAGATTCCTGGACACTTCTTTTGTGAGCATAACCAATTTCCCCATCGACAAATGCTGTAAATATTAAAGTAGACGCACATCTTGTTTTATTCCACAGTTTTGTACTATAGGCATTGAAAGGTGAAGTAGTGCATTCATCTAGTGGTCAGAGTTTTTATTTTTATAAAACATTTTATCCAGGGTTGTTATTTTACAAATAAAACTAATTATTGTAGTCACCTAATGACTTAAAAACATTGTTATTGTTGAATAATATCTCTGTTTCCTTTAAATGCAAAGATCCATAAATTTTGGTCAGCTGCTTCAACTGCCAACAGAGAAAATGTTGGTACAGAGGTGGTAACCCCATCCTGATCTCTTTGTTAAGCACTGGTTGCATTCACTATTGGAAATGCTGCAATTGAACTGTCATCAGCATGGATTAACCATGCTAAACGTTATATTTTGTGGTGTAGAAAATCTATATTTGCGACATCAAAGAAATCTTAGACACTTAATCCTCTTCTGATACTATGAAAGTCAAATTTAATGTAATTTATTCACTTGTTTGGTCAAAACTACAGTTATCCTGTGTTTCCTGATGTGCATTTAACAGGGTGGGGGAATGGGGGATATATAATAGCTGTTAAAAGTACTTTTCTATCTAACTGTAAAAAAAAAAAGTATATATTCATTTTGGAAATAAAATCTGAATTACAAAAAAGACTTCAAATAACAAATAATATGTAATTTTACAAATGATGAAAAATTTACATTTTATTTCAACTAGCCGCAATATTTGATGTTTTCATATGGTCTAATTTTAAATAACTAAAAATAAATACCAAAAAAACTAATATGACAAGGACTAAAAAATATGAAATACTAAGGGCTCTATTTTAAAGATCTAGGCGCAAAGTCTAAAGCGCATGGCGCAAAAGCATTAAGGGTGTCCGAATTCACTCTTGCTATTTTAAGGACAGAAAAATAGGGTCTGTGCCTTGGCGCATGGTCTAACAGGGTTGTGCTCATTCTCTTAATGTGTTATGGCTGTGTTTTGAGTATAACGTGCATTTGACCAATAAAAGTCTCATCTCTCAATCTCTATAAGATTCAGTTGCTCACGCTATGGAGCATTTGCAATTTACATGGCAGACTTTGTAAGAGGAAAAACTGAATATTTTACTAGCAAGAAAACAGATAAACGGAGCATCTACAGCATGAGGATAAAGAATGAGCCTCCTCTATTCGGCCTCTTTACTTTACTCCTTTACTTTGTAAAGTAAGGAAACAGTGGAAACTCACTCCACTGAAGACATCCATTAGCCTACATATTTAATTTAGTTTGTAAAGCCCAAAGATTTTTTCAAAACTGTTTCTAAATTCTGGTCTAATTTTCAGCAAATGAAGTGTGGTCAAAAAACTGTTAAACCAAAACTGTTAAATATTGTGTATATCCAAACACATTATTCTTATATTAGTCTTATTCTTATGCCAATATGGTAATGTCTCCAAAACCCGACAGGCGGATAAATATAAATTTGTTTTTATTAAAACAAATATAAATATGCATATATTAAATATTCCTACTAAGAAAATTATAATTTTTTGTAACATTTTAATAATACATTTTTTTCATATGTAAAGATATTTGTGTATTGCTGTACATCCTGTGTGTATTAAGCAGTGTGTACGCACTTGAACCCGCATAGGCGCATAACTAACGCCCTCTATGCTGGACTTTAAACCAGCATTTAGTTGGTCAATACGTGGTCTGTTTCAGTTCCTCAAAATAGCAACGCGACAACGATGCACCTTAACACACCACCTTAATAGACCAGCACAGCCATGACTCCACAAAGTGGCGCAAATGGCTCTGCTATTTAAATAACGTGACGCAAAATGTGAAAATGACATTTGTGCTGGTCTGAAAATAGCAACAAATTGCACCCTACTCGCCTTGCGCCTTATTGCGCTTGTTTTATGATAGGGCCCTAAAACTTTAACTTTAAAATAAACAGTATGAGTATTTTATAAGTATACTTATAAAAAATAAAAACAATACGCACCATTTATTACAATCTTTAACAATCACAGATCCTGGTGCATAATACTGTCCATCATGTTTACATGGGCAGTTGTACGGTTGAACGCAGTGTCCTCTGCCATCATCCAGTAGACCAAAAGGACACTGGCAGCCAGACTGACAGTCTAGAGAGAACTGGAAAAAGGGAAGCAAATGCATCATGTACAAGCACAATCTTGTTACCCACACTAAAAAGCCATATCAGACAATATGAACTCACACAGTCAACTTCTTGATGCGAGCAAGTCTTTGCACATTCCAAGCCATATTCTTCTGGGCCTGCTGTACTGCAATTGAAGAACACCTTTGGAGAGGGACATCCTGCAAAAGACATCAGATGCAAATTGTTAAACCAAAAGTATACTAATAGAACCTATGGAGAAGATAAAAGTGATTTTCCATACCCAGAATTTGGGTTTTCCAGGATCGACAGTGGAATTTTCCATTCATGCAAACACTGGACAGAGAAATAACATCAAACTCTATACACTTCATAGATTGTAATATATATATATATATATATATATATATATATATATATATATATATATATATATATATATATATATATATATATATATATATATATATATATATATATATATATATATATATATATATATATATATATATATATATATATATATATATATATATATATATATATATATATATATATATATATATATATATATATATATATATATATATATATATATATATATATATATATATATATATATATATATATATATATATATATATATATATATATATATATATATATATATATATATATATATATATATATATATATATATATATATATATATATATATATATATATATATATATATATATATATATATATATATATATATATATATATATATATATATATATATATATATATATATATATATATATATATATATATATATATATATATATATATATATATATATATATATATATATATATATATATATATATATATATATATATATATATATAAATATATATATATATATATATATATATATATATAT